TTTCCCTTCTCTCTCTTCTTCGCTGCTTCAAAATCTTCTTTGGGAACAATGTTATTTTTTATAGTTTAAATTCCAGAGTACCTTACATTGTTGCTTTTTCAGTTTAACCCAGTCAACCAAAACTTTCTCTTTTTATCTTCCTCCTGCACATTCTTTCCGGCCGAGTTCTTCTTTGAGGTGGCCATTTCTGACCACCGCTGCAACCGCCTTCGGAAAAGGGAGTAATGGCCAGCTGGGGAGGAGATGCGGCTCTCCTAGACCCTGCTGGCAGTCTCCCCCCTCTTCACCACCTCTACGGGGTGGCTTAGCCCTGAAACCAGCTGGCTCGGGGCACTCTGGCGGCGAGCACGGATCGAAACCACGCACGATCGCGGATTTCAGTCCGTCATCGAAGAGACTCAAACTGGAAGTCAAGCTGTGAACTTTTCTAATATGTGTGTAGACTGGGTATTAATTTTATCTATCCTGTCAACCTGCTTATGGAGAGGCGCTTAAGGTCATAAGCAAGGATCTTTGATGCTAATTCCTAGTCCTGTGTACATTATTGACCCCTTTCACAGTAATTAAGCAGGAGTTCATTCTCAAGGGTTTTCTCATATTTCGAAATAATTACAGAAGAAAATAAGCTTGGCCATTTTTCATTTGCTACCATATAACTGACATTCAAATAAGTTGCAGCTCTCCGTTTCATAACACATATAATCAACATGTATTGATCCTTATTAAAAGCAAAGATTATACGGGGAGAATTTCAGTACTGCATTTTTGAAGAAGCTATATTTTATCTGCAAAATGCTTTTCCTGGATTAATTACAGAAGTTATTTATTATAATTTGGCAATGTGCTTTAAGCTGTTTTTTTTTAAACTACCATGTTTGTTGTCCCAATGGTGATTTTTTTTTCCAAGAAGCAACTGGACTTTCTGGTACCAGAAAGTCCAGTTGCCTCTTAGAAAAAAAAAATCACCTTTGGGACAACCATGATTTGGATGACTGAGAATCTCCATAGACATTTACTGTATTTGTTACACATTTAACAGAAGATGAAGAAATAGCACCAACAAGAGATGTATCTCGTCACTTTGAGGATACTAGCTATGGTTATAAAGATTTCTCAAGACATGGGATGCAGGTACCTACTTTCCGTGTGCAGGTAAGTCATATATTATCAGTATCGAAATCTAAAGTGTCCTCTAGAATATTAGGTGTATAAACAGAATATTAGATATATAAATTACACGTTGTATTTTTTTTATAACTTTAAAACAAGCATAGGCAATTTGGTGCCCTGCAGCTTTGAACATTTACTAATCATTCTCAGGCAGTATATAGGGGATTATATACTAAAAGCGATACAGGTAGCCCTCGGCTTATAATCATTCGTTTAGCAACCTTTCGAAGTTACAGCAGCACTGAAAAAAATGACCTGCGACCAGCCCTCATACTTACAACTGTCATAGCATCCCCGCTGTCAAGGGATCAAAATTCAGGTACTTGACAATGGGCATATATTTAGACAGTTGTAGCATCCTGGGGTTGTGGCGGGGGGAGGGGGCGGAGTCACCGTTCCAGCTGGCTTCTGACAAGCAAATTCAAAGGCGGAAGCCAAATGACAGTGTGATTCACTGAACTGCAGTGACTCACTAAACCAGGGATGTCCAACCTTGGCAACTTTAAGACTTGTGGACTTCAACTCCCAGAATTCCTCAGCCAGGTGTGCAGTTAAATTTGCACAAAGATGTGTTTAACTTTGCACCATTCAAAAGTTATGCCAGTTTAGTTTTAATTAGGAATTCACTGAAATGTACAATTAAACCAGAACTGTATACATTTTGATATAACGTGTCAAAAAAAGTTCATAAAATGAGGCACAAATTCACTTGAAAAACACCTTGCTTAGGAATGGAAATTCTTGTCCCAATTGTGGCTCCTAAGCGGAGGACTCCCTGTAGTTGAAACCAGTGGAGGACAAGAGTATCCATGCTGTTGGAATACATAGTAGTTATCTCATTATTTTGGATTTTAAAAATGCAGTGAAAAATATATATTTTTTTCTATTATGTCAAAGTTCTTGAGAACTTGCTTCCATGTACCTGTTTTGCTTTTAAGGACTATTCATGGGAAGACCACGGATATTCGCTGGTAAATCGTCTCTATCCAGATGTAGGACAACTGATAGATGAGAAGTTTCAAATTGCCTACAACTTGACTTACAACACAATGGCTATGCATAAAGATGTGGATACGTCAATGCTTAGGCGTGCAATCTGGAATTACATTCACTGTATGTTTGGAATAAGGTTGGTCCATCTCAGCTTTAGTTATCTATTAGTTTTGGAAATTTTGTTCCCCATATTGCTTGAACACATATTATGGAAATTTATATTAAGAACCTACATCAAAAGCTTATGAGCATACAATCAATGAACTGGTTAAAAAAATAATTGCATTTGTAACTTCTTTTTAAATGCTTTTAAAGGCAAATTCTTGATAACAATTGTGCTTGAGGTAAGAACCTTGTATACTGACAAAGCTAACCAGCTAAAAAAAGCTAAAACTAAAAATAATTCTAGAACAAAGGTCTTGTGTTTCTCCCAAATCCGTGTCTGGAAGATACTAAGAAAGCTGCAACTTGCCAGATCCAAAAAGGCAAGACAGCTGCAGTACCTGGACAGGATTACATTGAGTAGAAGATGGGAAACAGGGCAAAGCACCAAAAAAGGGGGGATGTGTACTATTTCCAACATATTGGGAATGGACAAAAATACTGAGGGTACTACTACAATTGGGATTCTAGCAAAACCAGCTTAAGATCTACCAGAAAATATACAGCTGTGAAATAGCAAGCAATAGCACAGTAATTATTATAACTGGCAATAATGTGTTTGATGGAAAACCTGAACATATTTATTCTCCTGATTATAGATATGATGATTACGACTATGGTGAAATTAATCAGCTGTTGGACCGCAGCTTTAAAATTTATATCAAAACTGTAGTGTGTGCTCCTGAGAGGACCACAAATAGAATGTACGATAGCTTCTGGAGGCAATTCAAACATTCTGAGAAGGTATGCTGTATGTTTGCGTAATGTATGTATATATACATGCATGCATGCATGCATGTATAATGTATGCTGTATATATATGCGTAACGGAGTGAGCTCCCGTTACTTGTCCCAGCTTCTGCCAACCTAGCAGTTCGAAAGCATGTAAAAATGCAAGTAGAAAAATAGGGACCCCTTTGGTGGGAAGGTAACAGCATTCCGTGCGCCTTCGGTGTTTAGTCATGCCGGCCACATGACCACGGAGACGTCTTCGGACAGCGCTGGCTCTTCGGCTTTGTAACGAAGATGAACACCGCCCCCTAGAGCCGGAAACAAGTAGCACATATGTGCGAGGGGAACTTTTACCTTTATGCTGTATATGCATTATATGTGTGTGTGTGTATGTGTTGTGACTTAGTAAATTGAATCATATTGGTTTGACAGTTGCATCTATTAAGACATTCGTTTTGCTTATATTGATTTAAATATCTCTTTAAACTTTCGCTAGCCTGTAAAGTTTTTGTCTTTGCATTATTGCTCTTAGTAGAAATCACATTAATGAAAGTACTGCATTGAAGAAAATTCTGTAGATCATTATTAGAGCTACTTTGTCTCACCTGATAACAAGAATTAAGTCATTCCAGGCCTAAAGCCAGGATAGCCTAATAATATTGCACATATAGCTATTGTATGGAGCAGCACTTGATGGGTTGTTGCATAAGATTCCTGCCATCATCAGCCACTAGTATATTCATGGATTTCTGCCTGGCTTCAGTTCAAATATTAGCAGCATTTCTGCATGCCTTAAAATACTGTAATGCACAAAAGACACTAACCCCAACTTTTTCCCCCTATTGTTTTCTTTAAGGTTCACGTCAATTTGCTTCTCATAGAAGCACGGATGCAAGCTGAATTGCTTTATGCTCTGAGAGCCATTACTCGTTACATGACATGAAAACTTTGGGCAGTAGTAATCGAAGGTGCCACAGAGGCAACATACCAGGGCTTATTAAGGGGCTTCTCAACCAGCAGGGGCTAAAAGCCATGATATTATTTGTGCCATAATGTTTATTATTACTTACTACTGCTACTACTAGTATTATTGCAGCTCCTTAATGGGATATTACTGCTGATGAGGTTGGTGGTAGAACAGTTGTTCAGAGACACAATCAAACAGATTCCAGCCTGCTCTGGTTAGTGTAGGAGGCAATGACTTCTGGCAGACAACTAATTACCGAAATCTTTATGTATTGTCACAAATAAATAAGAATCTGGAAGATAACAATTTTGCTTTTGATACAAGGGTGAATAATGTTTTTATAAAAATCCCGATGCTGCTGAATGTGCTGGTTAAATGAAGAGACTAGCAATTCCAGTTATTAAGCTATAAAGAAATGCAAGCAATGCTATCGTCTGAGCCTACATTGCATTGATGTTAGAGAAGCTCCTTGCTGATAATGCAGAGCTGAACAGGATGTTACATTAACAGTTTTGATCGTTAAGAGAATCTTTTGCTGTCTATGTTGGTCTTATTATTTCAGACTGAGGCAGTGTGAGACTATCAAAATTGCTTAAAAATCTGCAACTTTGTGAAAAAAAATTGAATAGTTGAGAGCAAGGATAGATAATTTTACTTCTTCAGTATTCCTAGAAGCTATCAAAGGTGTTGAAATATCAATTCAGGCCTCAAATAGCTTCTTACTAAAACACTCATTTCTACAGCCTGCCCCTTAAGCAGCAGCTTATGTAGTTAAACAAGAAAATAGTATAACAACAAGAAAAAAACCCTATCAGTGACTTTGATATACGAGTGTGAGTGCATGCATGTGTAAAATATATGGATACTTTTTGTATGAAGTCTGTTAGTATTACTGGTTTGTTTAAATAAAAAATAACACTTTCCTCTTTTTTCAGACTTCTTACACTATAGTACTGGTATCATTCATTACAAAATAGACAAATGAATGCTGTGTCTGGTGTGTAATTTCTAATTTGTGTTTGAGAGAAAAACAACAAAAGTTAAACTGCAATTCTTGACAGTTCAACAGGAAGCATCTGCTATTTCCTTTATTCAAAAATGCAAGGCAAATGCTGATCCAAAACATATAAGCCAAATGTGCAATTTTAAAGTTGGCTTTGGCTAAAAATACAAATTTCATTACCTGCTCTATGAATTCCATTTGTGAAATCAAATAACTATCTCACTTTACCAGATTGGCTTATCAATAAATGGACAAGGACTATAATCTTATCACATAAATACATTTACAATTGTTTCAAAGTTAAAAAAAAAACTGCATTTATACTGTGATTTTCAATATATTTTTAAAATATTGGGTGGAGAATGTTAGTCTGAATCATCTAAAATTCATTTTGAAATTGTTGACCAAATGCAATACTATTCTATACATTAAAACCTAACAAAATTATTTAACAATGAATGCTGTCTGAATTCCTTGATCTATACTTGATAACCATGGTACTATTTTTTGCAATCTTTTATAAAATCTTAAATATAAAGCATATTATAAAGTTAAATCAAAAAGATACTCAATTCAGTTGTTGCAATTAGTTTATTTTTATGTTTCCTAAATCCACTGGAAATTTAAGAAAAAGGTATTCTACAATGAATGTACATGCTATGTAGAAAAATTAAACAAAAGGTGTTTTTAATGGAAACATACTGAAATGTTTTTATATCAAATGATTTGCAAAAGCAGATGCAGAAGTGATTTTGTGCATTGATTGATTCAACACCCATCTTGAAATGCAGTATTAGAAACTCAAGTAATGATTTTCAATTTTGAATTCTCTGGAGAAGCTTTTGTGCCACAGGTTTGAACTCTGTTTCCCAATAAAGTTTGTGATATTCTCTTAAGTCACTGTCAAAACTGTAAGTCTGTGCCAGTTCTTCATCTATAGCAAGCAAAAGAATACCTACCAATCAGCATTAAATAAAACTTAAATTTAAGAGTTTTTCACACATGTATTTGGATGCATCTGCTACCAACACAGAGAATAATCTAAAGAAAATAATGTGCATAAAAAGGTAAATTTCCTGAGGGGTTCTGGCTATTTTTTTTTTTTCCCCTGCCTTTGAATAAGACTTCAGTCCTGATTACTTCATGGAGTTTTCTAGGCAGCATTTTTGGAGATAGTCTGCCACTACCGCCTTCTTGAGGCTGAAAGTGAGTGAGTAGCCAAATGTTACTCAGCTAGCTTTCATGCAGGAATAAAACTCAGGTCCTCTGTGCTCCTAGTCCAACAATTTAACCACTAGATCAAACTGGCTCTCAAATAATTAACAGCTTCTTTTTAAACAAAAAATATCCAGGTGGTTGGTAATATCAGGAGCCATGGGGGTATTCCAGGCTAACTGACTGCTTACTGTCAGTTTGATCCTGACCAGCTCAAGGTTGACTCGGCCTTTCATCCTTCCGAGGTCAATAAAATGAGGAACCAGATTATTGGAGGCAATTTGCTGACTCTGTAAACCGCTTAGAGAGGGCTGTAAAGTACTACGAAGCAGTATATAAGTGCTATTGTTATTGCTAGTAAATGATTTCTTGCTAAGACTATGGAAAGACTGTAAAAAAATAATGGGCTACATAAAAAAAAGTCATGTAAACTACTTTCTATATGTCCTATTTCCATTCATTAAAGAAACACAGATTATTTTACATCTTACCAAGAAATGTCATAAGAAGAACTAGTAGACCATTTGAGTCATCCTCTTCAAAGCAGGGTTCATTACTTGTAACATTCTCACTGTAGTTCCACAAAGTTTTGCATATCAAACCAGCCAGTTGCCAATCTGTGGGCCCAAAATCTCTCAAACAATCGATTAATCTGTTGTAATAATAGGTTGAATAGCTGTTATTAAACCCTTGAAAACTAGTAGCAGCCTTGTAGGAACATAGAAATAATAATATACTATATATCACCCCGCCCCCGTGTGAATTTCAGCAATATCTTTTTTGACTCAGCTACTTTAAACTTACTTTTTAATTCCTCCTCCTTCATTCAAAATACTCCGCCTACTTTTATCCACAGTAAGATTGAGGAGAACTCCACAGGCTGAAAAGCAGACGTCTTGGTGCCTGGCATCAAGCAAAGCAATCATGAACTTGTACACTAGATCAGAGAAGAAAAAAATCAATGAGAACAAACTTGCTTTTAAGAAAATATAACTGTATTAGATGCACCATTACAATACTGCTATGCCACTTCTAAAGGATTGAAATACCGACTTCTCCTCTGTAGGAATTATCAACCCTCTGCAATGAATGAAAATGCCATATTTTTCACAGGCGTATCCCAATAATCTCAACATGAAGATTCGGCACGACTATTTTCAGCACAATTACTCTTGATGTCTTTTTATAAAGTCCCCTGGTACAAAGTTGAACTGATGCATTGGGTTTTTCAATTTTGGGCTTTTCAATTTTTTAAAAGTAAAAAGTACGTATTTTAACTGGGAGGCAATCACCGTGTTGTATTAAATGACATACCTGCCTTTGCAAATTCTGCTTAAATTTAACGATCTCTTTTCAATAGAACTCTTTCTATGCAGATAGTTTTAGCAGCCATTTCTTTTAAGCAAAATCTAATAGGCAACAGTACATATTATTTGTGTTGCTTTATGTTACATGGTTATTTCTAATGGGATAGGAGCTCACCTTTTCGTTGTATAATAAAATTGCAGATTTCATGGTTTTGAGAAAGATTACCAAAGACACGAATAGCCTCCAGAATTCCATCCATATGACTGGTCATTAACATCTTTAAAAGCACTGTAAGTGGAAAATACACTGCATTTGATATATTTTTAAGGGATAAGTATCTTATTCCAAAAGCAGGGCAGTCACACTTAGTTAATAAAGAATTCTATTCCATTCCATTCTATTCTAATTAAATATGTCTCCCAGAAGAGCAAATTAAGCAATGAGTACATCTTTATTTTAGCCTCTCAGAGTAGAGAGAAGCATTGTTGCACACTGTACTTCAGGCTAAAAGTGCCATGACACCTAACATATAATTTATACAATGTTATGCATAAATTGAGTTACCCTTGGTCAAATTTTAACACTAAAAACAGGATATCAACAAAGTGTAGAACTAATACCCAGAGTCAATGAAACTGAAGTTTAAAACAGTTGGATACTTCAGCAAGACAATGTTCAAATAAATCCTATTTACAGAAAAGAAAGGTTTTTGCAATCTTTCACAGTATCCATAAATGAATATTATTGAAAATCTATAGGGAGAACTCAAATGTGTAGTTCATCCAAGGAGATCGAAAACATTTCTGATTTAGAAAAGTTCTCCATGAAAATATTCCAAAAGGTTTTCTTAGGTCATTATCAGAAATGTTTGAAAGCTTTTTTTTTTCTGCCAAAGGAGGTATTTCAAAATATCCACCGAAAAAGTGTCCAAACTTTCTGCATCTGCAATAATTACTGGTTTTTTTTTTAAAAAACCCATTGAACCTGTTCACTACTGCACACAAATAATAGGTGTGCAGTTAAATTTGCACAAAGATGTGTTTAACTTTGCACCATTCAAAGGTTATGCCAGTTTAGTTTTAATTAGGGATTCACTGAAACGTACAATTAAACCAGAACTGTATACATTTTGATATAACTATCTACTGCTTGGGAAGCCTAGTTAGTGGAAAACGTAGTAATTCAGCAGTATCTACAAAGGCAGAAAATCCCTATTAGCATATTGTGTGTCTGAAAATTTTGTTCAGTGAGTTCTCCTCTAACATCTTTGAGTGATATGCAGTTCAGCTTTATTACTTGTGTTATATTTTTTATCTATAGTCAAAGAATAACGTTACTAGTCAAGCCTTTGACATGAGTTAGAAACAAAAACAAGACAAAACTAGTAAAAGGGGCGTAATATGCTAATCAACCGGTTTACAAAATCAACATGTTCTTCTTTATAAAACTAATCAATAAAGGCAAACATGTCAAAGATTAAGCCAAATTGGGCTGGCTTTATCATTACGAAATTGTCTGAAAAATCATTAAATTAGATCCTTTTTATGATTTGCTCAATCAAACTTGTAATATTTATAAGCAACACTGGCCATTACCATGTAATAGAAAGATGAGAGAATTAATTTTTAAAATATTCTTACGTTCTGCTATATGTAATTTCTTCTCTTGGATTATGGAATTTTTCACTTGATAAAAGGATAAATTGTTGATTGTTGCAATGGCATTAATAACCAGTTCCTCACATTCCTCAACCGACTTGCACTCTAGTGATTTAGAAGAGAAGACTTCGGACATGATACCAATTACGTAGCATATCATAACTTCAGTTATTCTAGTATAAAAAGTTACACTGACATCATAAAATGAAGCCAAACAATTAACTGCTGTAATAAGAAATTGGCAACATTTCAATAAAATTCTGATGCAGAATTCAGCCTTTTTGTCTGAGGCCATTTCAAAGCGTGAAATTGTGTGTGTTTTACACAAGTAGATGTACACATTCATTTTACTGAAATCCTTCATTGATTGATTGATTATGCGGCACCAAGTCAGTGTTAGTGCCACATAGATTTTTTTTTCCCCAGAAGTCCTTCACACTGACATCTGAATACATGATATGTCCAGCAAGTCCTTGGAAAGTTTTGAAAAAAAGCAAAGGAAGAAATTTGAAGACAAAATTCCTTCCGATTCTTTTTTTCGAATTTCTGATCAGCTAATAAAATTGGTACCATGTAGATGATGGATAACATCGTTTCTAAAATGCAGAGAATTAAAACAAAGAATTACAGGAATGCTGTCCCAATTATAATGGGCTACACCAGGGGTGTCCAACCTTGGCAACTTTAAGACTTGTGGACTTCAACTCCCAGAATTCCTCAGCCAGC